CCCCAAAACCCCAAAACCCCATGATGATATATTTAGAAAATAAAAATTAATAGTTAACAAGTATCAGGCAAGTTTTAAATTATAAAATTATACTTTTAACAAGTCATTTAAAAAACAAACAAAGGTATTACATATTTTTGCCAAGTTGTGAAATTTGAAATTAATTTTCTCTACAAATTTTGTTCGCAAAAATTTAGAGATCTTTTTTAATATCTTATTTCATTGATTTCATCTCATAACATAATCTTTGAAATGATTTGTTTATTTGTTTCTAATTTTAATCAAATTTATTCTCAAGAATTGTCACTCTTTCTTCTAATTTATCAACTCTTTTAAATATATTTTGATTTGGTTAAATCTGGCTTCCAATTTGTTAACCAGCATTAATCAAAGTTGGCTAATCATAATTAACGGAATAAAATCTCTAGTGTCGTATAGTATTTGTTTGCCGACCCTAAAGATTCTAACTTTTTCTTGTTAATTGTTGTTGTCTAAGGTCAGAGTTCTTTGCTTATGATTTGCTATATTGACTAATTGTTCTAAAAGTTTGCCCAAATAATATTAAGTTACTATTGTTTTACAGATTTTGCATTTGATCATAATCCTTTTATTATCTTTCATCAATATACTTTGACCTTATTAAACCTGTATGTTTTTCTTATGAAGAAAATCCTGTTGATTAGTTTCTTTATTTGGCTGCAAAATGGCTCTATGTAATTGCTCTATTTGATTTTTAAATTTATGATTATTAAATTTTATTAGCAGTTTATTATTAATACTGTCTATCTTTAATTTGATTGGTTGATATTTTCTCATTGAATATTAAGCATTATTAATTGATAGAATTTATTAAAATACTTTTAATGTTGTCTAAAACTTAAATTTTTTCTATTTTTGACAAGCAAAAGCTAAACATTTATCCGATTGAATATTCTTATTATTCAAACTAAATCAGAGATTTTTCTTGTGAAATAACATTTATCTTTTTATTAATCTAATCAAAAATTATGTTTTCAGTATACTATGAATTCGGGATCTCATAGTTAACATTCAAAATCATTCATTCTTTATGATTTGTTTTTTTGATTATCAGAATTTCTTCGGACGATTGATTCAAAAAGTTTGTTTTAAATTCAATCCAAAAGCAACAACTCTTTTCTTATTTATCATTCAATTCAGAGAATGAAATCGCCTCTTACTTTTCTTAAATTTAAGTTCCGTAAATCCCTCTCTGATTTTATTCTTTAACATATAATTCAAATGTCAATGGCTTGTCTTAAGGATTATAAAATACCAGATTTCTTTGAGAATTCTCTGAAATTGTATTTTCTTTTGATTAGGATAACTCTTAAACAGCTTAAGGTTATGCTAAATCTGGGTCTATATCGTCAACTCTCAAAAATGGCTTCAATTAAGGGTTCAAGAGCATTAATATTCCAAGCTTTTCAGCATTCATTTTCAATTTATTCTGACTTTTATCATCATTCATCATATTAGCATAAACTGCTTTAAGTTGTTTAACTTCGTGCTTTGAAAGTCGAGGTTAAATAAAAGGAGAAATGAATGGAAGCAAAAACATTTAGAATTCTTTCTTGTAATAGCAGTTAATAAGGTTAGGTTATTATAGTATAATTGATTATTGCAGTAATAAACATTAATAAACTTTTAATTACGCTATGACTATTTATTAGAATTTTATCATTTTACTTAATTCTTAATTCTCATTCTTTTCATCATTTTGGGGTTTTGGGGTTTTGGGGAGA